GGAGGCCCAGCTTGACCCTGACACCTTGGAGTGCACAGGAGGCCTTATCTTGACTGTTGAAGGCCCACACAAATGGTTCCAGAGGCCTCGGAGTGCCTTGTTAGTGGAAGAGTCAGACACGGTCATTACAAACTGACCCCCACCTTGCTTTCCTCTGCTGGGAGGGCTATGAGCGGCAAACTTTCCTATAAGATTGACTGACTTTATGCCTTTTGCCTCCTGTTTCTGGAAGTCCTGATTGCGTGGTTTATTGCAATAAATAACTCTAATGGACGCTTGTCCTCGGTAAAGTTTTTGTAGAATCCCCACTTCACCTCCTTGCTCTCCTTAGTTTTGTTAAATCAAACCACCAACTGAAATGATCAAACAGCTTTTTCATTTTAGTGGGAAAACACTAAGAAATTCGCAGATTGCTTTTTCATTTTATTCTAAAAACGACTCGATAAATCATATAATTTCTCTTTCCACTAGCGGCACGTGAGCGGCTGCAGTATTTTTGTTTTTGGACCGAGGCTGCGGGCTCACGTCATGGCCCTTCCTCTTTTCCAGGCCCGCTCCACACACGGTCACGTTTGATACTCGTGCTGTACAGTGTGGTCAAAACATGCAGAGAAACACGAGGTTTCCACTGCTCAAAGGAGAATACTGCTGTCATTTAGGGCTACCAGCCCGCTGGCTTCTAAATATAGCTGCTTTTCCACAACCGTTCCGTAATGAATGCTGTAATTCAAGCTTTCACTTACTGTATTTACTGTATAATGAGCCGTTCTGAGAGGGCATGGATTAAAGAATTATAATGCTGTAAAGGTGTTAGTCTGTGGTAGAAGCTCATGTTCCCTCCAGTGTCGGGGCATATGAAATGTATTCCCCCCCCAAAAAAATAAATCATGATGCAACCTGGATGTCAGACATATGCACAAAGTCAAACAGAAAGCAGGCCAATCAGACCGATGCTATCAACACTCATCAAGTCCTTCTGATGTGATGGATGTTGTTTGCTGCATTGGACCCGTTCAGTCATAACTTTGCGTCGGACTTGATGAGAACCTGACAAACGCGGTGACTAAGCATGTCTGCGTGTCATTGTGGCGACACTGATCAACAGTACTTGTCAATTGGAACGTTTTTAGAACATGACTGATGTGTTTTCTACTCACACCAGTGACTCATGAGTGTGGTGGGTGTTCGGATCAGAGTGGATAAAATGCTCAGCCTGTCTCAAAATGCCAAAAAACTGAAAAAAAAAGAAATCAACTTTCCTTTTCGAATGACAGATAAAAAGTGACAAGAATTGATTTGAAAGAAAAGACGTTTGAGTCGTCGGGTTTGTTTTCGTGGGATCCTACTCGCATTCTGATGTAAAGAAGTGGCGTAAATGCAGTAAGTAAGCAGAATGTGCACTGAAGTAAACTCCAGCAGTTTAGAGGCTGAGGCTGCACCATGAATGTCAATGACATCACCGCAGCTCTGATAAAGAAAAAGTGTTTCCTGGATAAGCGAGGACCAGAATAAACGTTGTGTTCTTACAAAGGGCCCCGGCTATTGATTATTTCCATTACTGTTAAATCTTTCTCAGTTAATTTAAAATGTGAGTAACACTGCCGGAAAGGGAAAAAAAAGTCCAAAATGTTCCTAACAAATGTCCACAGCTCTAATTAGGTCTTCCATCAATCAAAAAAACATTCAACTTATAATGATTTAAGTCAAATTCTTACATCCAAGAAGCCTGAAACAGTGAATATTTAGCATTTTTTACTGCTTTTTCATTAATGTGTGTGTATTTAAAGACAGTATCATGCAAATAAGTTAAGCTGCATTTATTTAGCACATTTTAACGCCGTTACAAAGTGCTTCACACACACAAAAAAAGGCAAACAAAGTGAGAATAAATTATAATATGAAACAGCGCAGTCAGAGACAAACAAACCCAGACACACAAAGTACTTCACACACATAAACGAAACAGGAAAAAAAAACTAAGTGAGAATAAATGACAAAATGAAGCACAGTGCAGTGGCAGAGACATGTACCAGAACAAAAACACATGGATGGAAGTCTATAAACGGGTTCACTGGTTTTTTAGGAGGCGCTAAAAGCAGCCCAAAGGTCCAGAGCATCTAATTGACTGAAGAAGATTTCAAAGTGTTGGGGATAAAGATGCAATCACCTTTTGTTTTGCTGTTGGAGCAAGGGATGGATAAATATAGTGGCTGAGAAGTGGAATGAGGAACAAAGAAATTAAAAAAAAACTTCAGTGAGGGCAAGTCATGCAGTGCCCTAGATGTAATCTTGTCAGTTATTCTGAATTTTATAGGAAGCCAGTGGAGGGCTGAGGAGCAGGGGTAAGGTGGGACTGACAGCTACTTCCTGTTAGTAGCCTGGCAACCAACGTTAATTGATTTAGAGCAGGTTGACTGAGGCCTGTGTAGAGAGAATTACAATAATCTAGATGGGAGGGCTCCAGTTATCAGGGTATCACACTGCTCAGCCTTCCTGGAAAAGTTTGTTCCAGGGTGCTGGAGTGGAGACTCTCACTGATTGTCCAACATCAGACTGAGAAGGAGCAATGCTGATCCCATCCTGGCTTTGGAACAGTGAACACCTCGTTACCCTTGCAGAGTTGGTGAGGCGTAATGGGAGTTACGGTGTCCCCTGGGGAACCCTGTGAAAGCTGCCATGGGGTTGTCAGGTACCCAGTTCCTGTACAGCCAAAGTGAGAGCTGTGTTTGTATTCTCTGCACCAAGTCAGACATGTTTCCTGTGGGTGCTGGGCTCTGCCAAGGTTGCCCCTTGTCTTGGATCTTGTTTGTAATAATCACTGACGGGATTTCAAGGCTGGGGTGAGGAGTGGTTTGGGCGTCATATCTTTTTCAGAGATGATGTGGTTCCGTTGGTCAACTGGGGTGAGTGTCAGCACATCCAAGTCTGAAGCCATGACTCTGCTGGAAACTGGTGGATTGCACCCTCTGCCGCAAGTTTAGGAATTAAAACATCTTTAGATGTTGTTCACGTGTGACGGGAGAGTAGAGTGATAGACAAATGGACTGATGCAGCATCAGCATTTAGGCAGACATTGCATCACACTGTTGTAGTAAACAGGGACCTGAGCCAGAAAGCAAAGCACTTGATTTACCAGTCGATACACATTCCAACAGTTACCTATGGTCACGAGCTCCGGGTAGTGAGTGGAAGAGTGAGATTGTGGAAAAAATAAGTGGGTTTCCTCTGTAGAGTGGCTGGCTATGAAGAGGAGTTTGGACACCCAGAGGGAGCTTTAAGTACAGTCACTGGTTCTTTGTTTCAAAAGGATCCGGCCGAGGTGGTTCAGGCGTCTAATTAGGATGCCTGTGGATGCCTTCCTTTGAAGGTTTTCTGGGCATTTCCAGCTGGAAGGGTGGACCCAGAACTCACTGATCTCATGTGGACTGGGAAAGCCTTGGAATCCCCCAGGAGGAAAGTGTTGCTGGGTAAAGGGGCATCTGGAATGCCCTGCTTTGTCTGCTGCTGCTGCTGCTGTGACCTGGTGGTCCTGAAAATGAATTAAGAGTTCAAGATCTATAGAAAACAAGAAATATTTGGTTTTAGATATTTCCTAACTGAGGAAAACCGTAGAGGACAAGCTTTGTAAAGTGATAGTCAAAACCTCCTAAAAAATGAAACCAGATTTCTTAGGAGGTTTTTATTTCAGTGAAATGGAACAAAGTGGCAAATTTTTCAAATCCAGTCAGAAAATTTTGTTTATCAAGTTTGAGGTTGAGAAAATGAAGGGGCATCCAGTCTTTGGTGGTCGAGCAATCATGGAGGGGGGACAAGGGGATTCAGGTTCCAGGGCTTAGCATAGAAATAGATCTGAGTGTCATCGGCATATCATTTAACGTGTCTGAACAAGTGAGGCTGAAAGGGTAGTAGTAGTTTTGTAGGTGGCACATTTTTGAGGAAAGAAAGAATCCACCATGTAAAATTATTAGTGGTTTCTTTTAAAGTTAAACTGAGTATTAAGGGGCCCTGGATGATGTACACGATAAAGTTGAAACTATTATTTGGAAAAGTTGTTTTGTGTTTTTTTGGTCTTCTAATTGTTTCAGTGCATTCATTATAAGAAAATACAAAAACAGCTTCTAGTCTCTCAAATGTAAATATATTGGTTATATGTTTGTATTTTGGACTGTTTGGCGCACAAAGCAACAAACCTGAATAGGCCAACTTGACTGTATGGAATGTGTTGAACTTTTTTTTTTTTTTTTTTTTTAAACTATTCGCTTTTTTTAAATTCAGTTTTATAGACCAAATGACTATTCCAGAAATAAACTGACTCATTGTCATCGTCTCATCTGTAAAAGATTTACAAAATTAAGGGAAAATTTGAGAAATAGGAACTGAATAAAAATAAATGAAATTAGTTTTTACAACTGAGATACTAATTTTACGAGAGGACTCACTCCATCCGCTTCATCATGGTCTCATTTCACAGGTGATTTGAAAACAGTTGTGGGCCGGCAGACAGTCAGTAATTACAGTTAACCATTACAAGATGAGCAATCACGCTGGTATCAGCGGCCTATGAAGACGTTTGTTATTACAACATCCGTGTAATGTTTTCTGACGGTCATTATCCAGCCGAGCCGATGCTGGATGCCTTCAGCTAAACTCGATATACCGAAGGTGGACTTTAAAACATCTTGAGCTGAGCATCCTTGAATAAATCCTAGAGCTGGATCTGATAGTTACTCACGTCAGTACCAATATGACAGTAGGCCATAACTCTCAGTAACTTGAAAAACAACAGTGTCGCCGTCCTGCCTCCCTACGTGGAGCTTTTAATCATCATGACCAAGCGGAACGATTCGTACGTGTCCGTGCATCACAAAGTCAGGCCGAGTTAATCAAATGTATTAACTGCTCTTTGTCTTTCTCTTCCAAACCCCCAACCCCACCCTCTCCACCCTCTCTGGCCCCACCAATTTTATTCCTCTACAACCGGCATGGTGTGACATCCACAGAGCTCCCGGCTGAAGAAGGTAAATATTGATTTTTCTAATGAGCTGCGATCCTCCTCCCTTTACTACCTGATTACGTGTCTTGAGCCTGGGTCTTTTTCTTTTCTGTAAACTTTGCGAGTGTACACTACAGCAGCTTTCCACCCATGGACACACACACCACTGCTCCTCTGTAAACACAGCCATGGTCTTGCTGTACAGCTGCCTGTCAGCATTGCAGAGCTAATGTCAATACGCCTTGCAGATCCATCCCACCCTTAAGCACGAGGACACACTTTAAATCCTTTACACTTAAAGGCTCAAGCTTTGAATCGAGTGTGATGCGTTATCTCGTGTGACGTTTATTTGCATATTTCAGGCAAGTCCCTGTGGGAGCTGGTGGTGGAGCAATTTGAAGACCTCCTGGTCCGGATCCTGCTGCTGGCTGCCTGCGTCTCCTTTGTAAGTACAATGAGGGATAATTAAAAGGCCCGTGGCTCTCAACATCTTGGTTCTCCATCTTGATCCTAGACCCTAATTGGACAATGGCCAGGAAATTGCCACCTAATAGACGGCACGATTAGTCTTAGGCGGCTTTATTCCCCTCTTAGAACTCTGCTCAGCCTAGTTTGTGGTCCCTTTTCATGTGGAAACTTGTGTAACACAGGCTTTTCCACCCAGTGTTGATATGGTTTCAGCGAGGGGAACAGGCGCAGCACTTCTGCCGAACTGGAAACTAAACTATCAGTCAAAGCTCCCTCTGGTGCGTCGCCCTAGACTGTGACCTTGGTTGGAATCCGAGGGCGGCGAAGGTCGGAGAGGGGTGGAGTGGGGGAATCCTTGCTGCATAATAGCTTTTTTTCCATCTATTACGGCACGTCCCCGGTGTCTCGGGATGGAATTGCTGTTGCTATTTCTGCAAGTAGGAAAGTTGCTCTAAAAACGTATATGACACAATATATCTGTAGCTGCTCCGGGTGCAGGCGTGGGCTCGACTCTGGAGTGTGGGCTCACTTTTCCTCACATAAATCCGACTTTTCTTACTTTAAAAAGGTTGTTTATAGCGGAACACGCCGCTCAGACCCTAATGCTTTACAACGTCGTCGTTGCCTGGAGTGGTTTCAGCTTAGCGGCCATAAAGCGACATTACTCGTGACCTGATGTGACTTGAAATCCTAAATATGTCACACTCCACTGTAGTTTTTCCTACAGCCGACACTTCAGAGCTCGCCTGTTCATAAATTACGTTCTTGTAGTCCTTTTTATAACCTTCTAACTCTCCTATTTGCACACTGTTTTGTATGTTTCTAGTATAACCAGGGAGTGGCTAAAGCTGAGCGAACCGGCGCTAAACCCCGACTTGGGACTCATTTGGCTGTTATTTTGAATTTATTCAAATTCATTTCCTTCGCATGGCACAACAGTGAACTTTATTGGCTCGTATTAAGGCAGAAGCGGGAAGGTTAGGACACGACGATGTTTAATGTGTCATTCACGAGCCGTTCAGTGTGGCTATATCTTTAATGGTGCCTCATTTATTCAAGCAAATGTGTTTCTTCTGAAGCTGATAGTGAGCCACCCCCCTCTGGCAGGGCTGTAATGGAGCAGAGGCGCACAGAAAGCCACACCAGGCACCTGAAACAATCACTTCCTCGCCGCGTGAAGTCGGCTTAATGTGGCGGAACTTAACATAGCACGAGCAGGGACTTACAAAGTTGCAGCAATTGACCCTAAAGATGTTTTTCTGGTCAATTTGATATAAAAAAATACATGTTTTTTTCCCATTTTGCCGAGGCCCCTGCGATGTTCCAAAACTCTGGAGATGTTCGGCTATAATGGGCCCATCTGTCGGCGTGCGTCCCAGCATGTGGAGTGTGAAGAGTGCAATGTTCAGAGCTGGAAGGAGAAGGTTTAATTTCAAAACCCAGCGGTGAAACTGAGCTTAATTCTGCCTTTGATTGCCAAATACAAGCAGCTGAATTTCCACCAGATTCCCCCTCCTCAATAAACACCGAACTCCAGCAGAAACTCCACTCCGCTCTGCTCTCAGTTTGAACTCCCATTCGGCGGTGAAGGCAGGAGTTAGGTATTCAAACCGCTCTGTGAATGTGTGCTGATTGTGTGGAGTGTCTTTTGAACCGTCCTCACTGAGAGGACGGCCATTGTTGCCCTCCAATCTCAGCCCAGTCAGACAGCAGATTTACCGTCCCCCAAATGATGGGGAATGATGAGCTATCGACCGGGCTCAGGCTGCCGTGACGTACACTCCGCTGCAGAGAATATACTCCTCTATCATTTGATAAGCCCCCATCAGATCATCGAAACGTGGATCTACTTTATCCACCTCTCCGTCTCTGCAGTCATTGTGGTTTCTACATCTGCCATTGATAAAATGATGGAAGCATCAGTGTAAAGTCATTTCTGCATTCCAGCAGGCGTCTTTTTCTCCGAAGATGTACTCTGTGGTTACATAAATAACTATATTAAGCTTTAGAGAAAAAAGAGATTAAATTGTATACTAACCTTGAGAGAGAGTAAGAAAAAAAAGAAATGTTTTTATCGTGAGATAGTTAAATACTGATGATACTTCAGCTTGACATCACGGACCCTTTCTGAGGCATGACTTTAAAGCGGCTCTGCTTTATATTTTTATAACAGCAAAAGGATTACATGACAAATGAAAGATGTTGCTCGTAGCAACAAACTCGCAAAGAATTATCACCCAGCTCTCTGTTCATAGTAACTCGAAGCTCAGTGTTTAGTTTTTTTCTGGCCTGTAACCTTCTGGTTTCATTCACTGCAGGCACTTGTGGTATCAGTTTAAACAAAAATGACTGTTAGATGCCTTTTCTTTTAAAGGTACTTTTAGCTTTCAGAAATCCTGCATTATTTTCCTCCATGTTAGCCAGCAGCCTTTTTCTCTTGCTGAGTGTATTGGAGCATTACCAACGCTGTTAATGTAGATTTATTATTCACACAAGGGTCCATAGGTGATAATAGCTCTGCCATTGTTGCGTTTACAGGTTTCTTTTTGCTGCCCTCGGGTGGCCGACGAATTAGCTCTCACAAGTCACGTGCAGACGATTTTGTTGGTAATCAGTGCAACATTAGTAGGTCATGAAGGGGGAACTGCTGCGCTTTCCATCTGGATAAGCAAAGTAAG